TTATAGAAAGAAATATCAAATAATATCAACTGACAAAGTTCCTAATAAATAAATAAATTGATTACTTATAATTTAATAATGGACTTAAAATATGAAGTTTAAATTAGCCATACTGGTTTTTAGATAATAATTAATATTTACAATTAATTATGATATAAAAGAAACATTAATTATTAAATACCATATTTAATTTTAAACTACCAATAAAAAAGGTTTAAAAATATATAATAATGTCAGTTACATATCAACCACATTTCATTATTAAAATAACAAAAATTCCAATAAACCACAAAATAATTGAAAATAGAATAAAACAAAGAAAAAATGCAAAAACCGATTTTTAATAGAATTTTATAATTTTTCGAAAAAAGTTTTATCTGTATCTAATTTATGAGCGAAATAGTTAATAATAAAAATAGTTGAAGCATGAAACTTCCAGAATAGATTTACTGACCGAAAATTGAGGCACTTTCATATTGTTATCAAATTATGACACCCAAGAGGAACTGATCTCCATACTCCCCATCTCTTATTTGTTAACACTGCTCTGTTACTAAAAATATACTTAACAATAAATCAACTATTTAAAACTGCTGTAGAAAATAACTATATTTGTTTGACGGGCTAGTAGCTATACAAAAAAAATATGTATATAAGTAGTCACTGTTTGTCAAATATAATCATATCATCTCATATATTGTTCTAAAACATTTTTTTTATTTTTTAAATTAAATTTTAGCGAACTTAAATAGAAAACAATTTTTAACTTTACAGTATAATATAAGTCATTATTAGGTTATAATGTATACACTATAAAACCATTAGATTTTCAGACTGAAGTTTCAATTCTGTAACTAATAGCAACCCCAAAATTATATTTTTTTCAACATCATAGGATACATTTTTAAAAATAATAAAATAAGATAGTAATAAAAATAATAATAATTTCAGAACAAAAATTTAAAATAAAAGCAAATTAGACTTTTGAAATTATTAAAAAAAAAAATCATAATAACAGTTAGTACTAATACGAAAATGTAAAGTTATTAACTATTATAAGATTTTTAATATACGTATTATTTAATTATATATAACTGTGCATACAAATATACAAAAAAAGAAATCTTTAGGATGATATAGAAGGCTATTAATATTGAATTGCAATCGTAAATATTCTTAATTTAAGTACGCAACTGATTTAAAAATAAATCAAATGATAAGATAAAAAAAGTTATTTAATATTTTCATTTACTACTATAACAATATCAAAATAACTTTAATTAGTTATTTAAGTTTTTTTTTTTATAATAAAAATTTTAAATACTTGCATTTTTTTTTAAAAAATTAAAATCTTAAAACAAAATTATAAAATTAATAAAAAAAATACTCAAATTATTAGTATAATCATTTTTACTTTCTTTCAAAAAGAATTAGTTATTTTAAATTTATTTAAAAAATCTAAATTATAATTTTTTTTTTAAATAAATCTAAATTAAGCGTAAAGAAAGTAGTCCTTGCCGTAATTTATCATTGAAAAAGCTTATATATATTATATAATATTTTATATAACAATTTAAAATTAGCCATATAATGAAAAAATAAAGTTTTAACCAAAACAAAATTTTAAAATACAAAAAACGACGACTTGTGTCCATATTTTTTGATTATTCATATTTCCTACATTTTAAAAACTTATGCAATTTTTTATAACAATTATTCAATAGATATAAATTATTTAACATAATTTTTTAACTTTTTATTAGGTTCTTTAAGTATTTTTTTCGTGGTCACATTAAACCTATAAACGGCAAATCAATATTAATTATTCTAACCAATATCATACGACAATATTTAATAAAACAAAATCATTAATTTTCTATAATAAAGTATATACCTCATTTATGGATTTATGAAACAAATATAATTCATTATTTTCATCGATACATTAAAATTATAGATTCGCATAAAGATAAAACTTTTGTACTTTTTTCTTAAAAATCTAAAATTTATATTTAAGGTACATTATAATATATATATAGAATACAATAAAACAAAGTTTAAAAAGAAAAATAATACTAAGCATGTCATTAATTTTATCAATATCCCATGGGGATCACAAATTATAGCCTAAAGGATTTAAAATGGTGGCGGTTGGTGAAATTAACACAAATAGGCAAGAAAACGTGTTTAATCTGTTATACTGAAAGAGGTTTCACAAAAGATAGAAAAAAGCGGTAGAGGGTTAGTTAAAAAACAACAGACTTGGCATAATGCCACCATTACTCATAAAAATTGTATTCCTTACAAATAGTAATAAGTAAAACAACAGCACAGGATAATGGTTGGACCTTTCTAATCGGTTTACATTATCAGATGAAATAATTCAATTCTAAAGAAAGAAAAATGAATCTTTTCTGTGTTTTTATTTGATAAAATTATATTTATATATATATTTGATAAATAAAATAATTTTTGTATGTCCCCCTATGTTCTCAGCTTAAAAATAATCAATGATAATTTACAATTTATGGTATTAAAATATTCATAAGTAGAAAAAATTATCAAAAATAAACCGTTCAATTTAATTTATATCTACTTGTAATCAAATATTTCATAATTTTGAGGGATACACATTTTGAATTATTTATAAAACAGGTTTGATACAGACATTGTAGTTAAAACCATTATACTAACCCAAATGGATTTTAATCTTACACGTAAATAAAAAAATATTTAATACACAAAATCGGGTATAAAATACAAAAATATTTAGAATATTTTAGAAAATTGAATTGATAAGCAATTAAAAATTAACTCTTTATCTATATTTATATCTATATTTTTGAAAGAAAACACATAGACAATAGCCTAGAACACTATATAATATGATAGTTATAATTTTATTAAATTTGTGCTTTAAACTATATTCAAAATATTAGTTCAAAAGTTTCTATCTAAAAAAAAAACATTTTTAAGTATCAAACGTTTCAATAAAAAGTGAACTATATATTTGACTGCACAGTAAAACATTGTTAACACTATTTTTTTAAATATTTTTATAGACAACATATTTAACATATATATTGTGAAATATTATGTCAAAATCTAAATTATAAAAAATTGAATAACTACCCAAACCTAACTATGATGAGTAAGTCGGCAAAACAAAACAGTAACACAATTTTTTCGACATTGTGATTATAAGCTCTAGATTTTATATCGATATATATATATTCCATAATTTAAATTAATTAAAAACATATTTTGATAGCGATAAAGAATAATACAATATAAGCATACAACAATCACGATGTAGAGAAAATTATGTGATATTGACAGTTGTTATTTCTATTGTTTGAATCCTGTTTTTATCAAATTGAATGCAAATTATTACAGGGATATCTGGTGGTTGTGTCCACATAGCCACTACCAATTTTAATAATTTTATGGCATATCTAAGTACCTGAATATAATAAAATCAATATCACAATAACTAATCAGGAAATTTTTTCAGTTAACAATCTAGATCAGCGTTTCCCAAACTTTTTTTTTGCCGGACCCCTTAGAGATAATAAAAATGATCATGGACCCCTTAAAACATATAAAAATTAAAAAACAATAACAAATAATAATACTTTGTATATTTTAAATTCACGTTCGCGGACCCCCTCCGGTATACATGTGGACCCCTAATAGTCCGTGATAGAGATGGGCTAAAAATTTGAAACATCGATGTTCCTATGTATCTACATTTGAAACATCGATGTTGATGATCGATATATTCGATAAAAAAATCTATGTTTAAAAATATCGATGTTTACCTTAATAAGTTTTAAGAAAAATTGTAACTATGTTATATGTATGTATGTTATGTAAAAATTGTAAAATGTTTAAATAAATACGTTATTGAAACATTAGAATTCGGATTAGAAAAAAATCGATTTTTTTTTTCAATACATCGCAATAAAAACAGCGATTTAGGGTTTCGATATATCGAACGAAAACATCGATGTTTTTAAAAAATAGATGTATTTTACCCATCTCTAGTACGCGGACCACAGTTTGAAAAACACTGATCTAGATCATTTTTTCTATACTTGTTTATTATATATCTTTGTTAATACCACGTTTTAACCAATAAGATTTAATATTCACTACTTAGTACATTGATCATTAAATGTTCTCGTTTATCGTATATTATGATCACCAGATATTAAATTCACAAATTTTTTAGGCACCCCGTTGTAATGCACAATTTTTGTCCAAATGAATACCTATAATCATTCTGCCAATAGTTTCTTGGGTAAATACTCATCACTTATGCATTATCCAAACTCTCATATCAATTAAGAAATAACCAAGTTATCATAAATAAGTATATACATATATGTTTTAGAGTTTGGAATGCTACTAATTTAGTATTATTTAGAAAGATACAAAAAATGTAATTTCATTATTCTTTTACATTATTAAAAAATTTACAACTAACTATATTCCTCATTACCCATATTGAACTCGAACGTAATTTAAAATTAATCAAATTATTGGCATTAAAATACATTATAATGATATATTAATAAAATTGCTAACCATGTAAATATATACAAAAACTGTAATTCACAACCTAGGGGGAAGAGTACATGAGTAAAAATCACGGAATAAGAAAATTACTATCAATAAACAAAAAAAAATGTCAACAAATTTTTTAATTTATGTGGGTCATATAAGATTTTTAGAAATCTACAAGGCATAGAATAAAAATTTTGAGAACCACTATACTAAAATTTAGATGTGATTTTAATACTTCCAAAAAACTTTGTGTAATGTAAAAAAAATAGCAAAAATAGTGACCAAATAGTATTTATAGTAATATTAATGATTATTTGACAAATTGTTAATTGATAAAACAAGTCTGGAATATATGTAAGTATACAAGTCGTATAACTTTTATACTAAAATAACTAATATAATTATAGCTCATTAGTAATTAAAAATCTTACCTGATAACTCATAACATCTGTCTCATCTATGTTGTTAATATCAAAAGTTGCAGCATTTTGATTGAATAATCCTTTTCCTGGGTATGACGTACTACGTCTAAATTTTGATGAATTCATTGGGGTAGGTTGTTGATGATGATTGTAATTAGTATTTGGCTTACGACCAGCTAAAGCATGCATTGGATTCAAATTAGGTACAGAACGACCACGATTCCACGATGAACCAGCTATACCACTTTGATTTTGACTAGAATTAAGCCACGAGTTCTGGTGAGACTGTGACCAAGAATATCCTTTGCTGGCCATATACAGGTTCTGCGGATGAGCTGACTGTTGCAGTTGCCTTGATAAATTATGTGGGAAATTATGTGTTGCACCAGATGCTTGACGTCTGTGATGATGTTGTGGCTGTTGTTGTTGATGATGGGGTCCCAAACCAGTATTGTACAAAGTATTTGGAAAACTCTAAAACCATTAAATAATTAAATTAAAAGTCTAAATCTAATTACACATAAGCTCAAAAGACAAATACAATATGAAATATATTATAGGTAATGAATAATATGCGTAATATATACATTATAATATTATAATAAAATTTATCAAATTTAAAAACAAAAAATTTAATATTTTAATAACCAAAATAGAATTAACTAATTTCCATAATTTTAACCAAGCCTTGTAATAAATAAGTATTGTTTAATTTTTGAATGAAACTAAAAATAACAATGAAAGTTATTTACATAAATAAGTAAACTTTCTCAAATAAACCACTTAGTAAATATGACAAAGATAATAAGATTCTTCTATTCATATTTCATAAACTGTAAGAAACATTTATGAAGCCAATATATATGTTATGGACAATATTGAAAGCTGGGCAATTTGAACCTCAAATAGACATAAATAATTGTCAAACTAATAACAATATACTATAAATTATTTTACTAATAATTTCTTATATTTGTATTATAATACAGAACAAAGTAGTATATATCAGTATAATATTTCTTACTCACTATTTATATTAATTTATGTCATATCTATTGGTTTCTCTTATCACATTGATAAAATTAATATAGATATGCCAATATAATCAGACAACAATATATGAGCAATAATTGATATTTATGATTAAGCAGTCAGGTTTTCATGCTTTCAAGACACTATGTATTTTGTAATTATTTATTTATATTTGAGGTTCAAATTGCCCAGGCAGGACCAAATTGCCTGAGCAATGACCTTGTCCGTTATTCCATATTGCCTGTAACATATATTTATATAGTAAAATAGTTTAAATATAAATATATTAAGATAACCCTTAATTAAATTATACTTTCTTAACAGAATTTAAATACATATTTATAAATGTGTGAGTGTGTGTGTGTGTGTGTATGAGAAAAAATATAATAAAATAATAGCTTTAGTCTGATATAACCTTTAATTTTAATAATGATAAATTAAAATATATTTAAAAACTGAATAAATTAATAATTCATAAATTCTTCAAGTTAACTATTCTTTAAATAAATTATAGTACAGTAAAAAATTTAAAAAATATTTTATATTTAGTAAACTCAACCTCATAAAAGTTTAATTAGTACATGATTAGGTAAATAATGTTCAAACCATAACCTATTTAGAATAAATAATAAAATAAAACAAAATTAAAAATTATTAAATGGTTAATACTCATAAATTAGTAAATAAATAAATAAACAAATAGTTTACACATAGAAATAATAAAATTATAACCTGGAGTAAAATTATATTTGTTAAGTACAACTGATTTTGAAATATAAATATATAAATTTTATATTTATTAATATACTTTGATTATACCTGACGATTAATTTTTAATTCGTAACCGGTTGTACTTTACAAATATAATAATACTCCAAACCAACTTCAGGCTAAGCTTTTATTTATAAATTTAACTATGTGTTTATTTATTTGTATAGTAAAATAAATAGAGGACAATAATTTAATATCTTTTAATTTTAACATTTTCAATTAATTTAGAAAACCTTAAATTTTATAATGAATACTTATAATTTATTGATGATATTTTATTTTTTTATTTACTTTTCAATTAAACACTATGGTTAAATATTAAAGATAAATAATTATAATACATATTTAAATTTATAATTTCATAATTTTTTTTTATATTAATTTTTATTAAATATAAATTTATTAATTAATTAATTAGACATACCTAATTTACTGTTAAAATTATTTAAAAATTTGAGACAATTTTTCAAATTCTTATTATAAACAAGTAATACAACATATCTGTATGCATTTGCATTTTTAAATATAAATTTATTTCAAATTAGGTTAAAATTATGTTAAGAGTAATGTTAAATATATTGACAGAGATTGGGGGAACTCAAAAATCTTAGTTTGTAGAAACATTTTAGATCCTTTGAAGTTTTTAATTTTTTAAATATCTGACACCTTGGTAACATTAACAAAATACAGTATAGATAAGACTAATCAAAGTATGGTTTAAATTTGTAGAGTATTAAGCCCCAAGGTAATGTCTTCTTACTACGTACATGTTATTAGGACATAGTTGAACATTTTTGTATCAATCATGACATGTATAAAAAAAATCTTAATAATTTACTTTACTAACAAAAAAAAAAAAAAATTAATCAAAAAATATTTTTGAAATATGTACCAAACCCTTTCAAGACAAATCTACACATTTGGGTAGGTTAGCGTGTACCTACTTAAAAAAAAGCATTAAATCCTACAATGATCAGCTAAAACAAACATATACAAATGTGTAGATTTTTTGTAGACCCCTAAAAATTTGGATTTTTTTTTTTTAGAACTTTATTATTAAAAATATTAAATTAATTTTAAAAAACAAAAATTCGTACAAACAAGAAATGACCTGCACAATTATGTGGTTAAGATTTAAATGTGCTATCTGAATTAATTTAGTCTACACAATTTTAAAAAACCAACCACACATTTATGTAGATTGATTAAAACCTATAACTAAAATTAATTTATCAGTCGAGACTGAAGATGGTATGTATAGATTTATGTACACAATTGTGTATTCTTATTGTAAAACATTCCAAAACAAAAATTAATGCTCGTCGTGAAAGGGTTAAAGGACATATATGATACTTAATCTCATGTTTAAATAACTACCTAATTTTAATTTTACTTTTTTCCTAAATAGTAGGTAAAAAAATTATAAACAGAATAAATCTTTAAAATACAAATGAATATGAAAATGAAAAAAATGTAAAATTTATAAAACAAATTGGTCTGATATTATAAGACTATAATTAAAATCAAACATTGATAAAAATTAATATATTATCAATAATGGTTTAATACTATAATAGTAATACTTATTTTTTACAAGTGTAGCAGTAGAAATTAAGTTTTCTATGATTAGATAATATGATTTAGACAAATAAAAAAATCGATTGTTTTCAATACCAACTAGTTATTAATTATCAAAATGTATTTTAAAAATTGTTCTTAAAAATTTAATATGTTTTTTTCACAAACTAGTAAGTAACTAATAAATTTAATTAGTATACATATATAAATAGTATTAATATCTAATTTTAATCTTATTATTTTTTTTTTTTAATTAGTAATCATCAAACTAAACATACAAAAAGTTATAGTCATAGTAACATATAAAAAGCACATTTAATAATAAAAAAATTTTCTCGATAAAATTAAGTAGCCGTTACATATTTTATAATTATGGCAATTATTTCTATAGAATTGTTTTATATGGTCTTACCTATCTCATAGAATTGTTTTCTTGATTTGAATGAAAACTGAAGTAATTTCTAAGTGGATACATAAAAATTTCCAACTGACAAAGAATAATCATCATCAACTAATAGCATTGAAATAAGATAATTCAATACTAATATTTATAAATTATAATAATCAATAGTAAGTAACTAATAGGTAGGTAATCATAACAGATCAGTTTTTATAATCAAAACCAAAAACTAAATTAATATTCATTAAATGCTAGTACAATGAAATTGTAAGTAAACAGATTTTAACTGATAAATTAAGACCAAAAAATAAAATCACTTTTCTACTTTAATCTGTTTAAACAAATACTTATTAAATAATACTAAAAATTAAATACAACGATATATAATAAAATATAATAAGTAAATAAGATACCTAATTTAACCTAAACTCATATAAGAATAGAGTATATTTAAAAAATAAATAATAAATAATCATGACCACTCTCTACACTCTAGTTTATTTAGTTATCTGCTGTATTCATATCTGTGGCGCAACCAGGGGGGTGGACTCCGGGTCTGGACCCCCCCTTGGTACGTATAATAGTATATTAATATCATATTCTAGATATATATATTATAATTTTTTATTATTTGTATATTAGTTTATTTTGTCAGACCCCCCCATGAAAAATTCCTGATTGCGCTACTGATTCATATACTGACTTTATAATTTATAAAAATATAACTAAACAAATATATTCAATAAAATTAATTTCAACACCTTAGTTGATTGTATAAGATTACTTCTACAACTAAACAGTATAAAATGTTAGTACCACTTGTAATAATTAAACTCAGATGAAAATGAATCATCAAGGCTATAGAATTCTACAAGTAATGAAAGCGTTTTAATTTTATAAAATGGACAACTTACAGCGTTGTTTGCAGCCGCAGAAGCATTTAACCCATGTATCAAGGTATCATCAACAGACGCTGACCACAGACTAGACGTAGACGAGTTGGTAGACGAGTTTATCACATTAAGACTAGCTTCATTGTTATATGACGATGGTAACTGCATTTGAGGGCCACCCGGCGATTTGTCACCACCACCCAACGCTGCCAACACAGAATCTTCTTTGACAACGCCTTTGGTAATAGGCAGCTGTTGGTGATCGCCGTTGACCGGTGACGGTGAGATCTGCTGTTTAACAGCAACGTCCTGCTGTTGCTGGCCGTCGTCAACGAAATACGACTGGGACGAGGACGATGATGGCAAGCCAGACGTGTTAACAGACGATTGGTATTCGATAGAACTTAAACTAGAATTTACACTAAATTTGTACTCCCCCATTTATACAATATATCACGTACGGTCCCGTGCGGAATAGTGATATGCCGCGCGATCTCCTCGTCGGACGTAATAGGTAGTAAAACGCACGCGCGAATAATTTATGGCAATTTTGACAACCGATTGATCGATCAAAAAAAAATAAACAAACGAGAAAGAAACCGTCCCTGAATATTATATACGTGTGCCGTGTATGTGTATAATATATAGATATATATATAAATATATATATATATATATGTATACGATCAAGGAATATTATGATTTAGTATAACTATTTTTATTACTAATATTAAACACTTGTAATTTTGATTTAAAAAAAAAAAAAAAAATTAACTATAGAGCTGCGGCTGCAAACGGGCACGTTGGCCACCCGCTGATAACACGACTGCACGAGCCGAAACGCGATAGCAGCGGCGGCAGCAGCTTGTCGGTGAATCCCCCTCCACCACCGTTACGCACGTTCCGTGCCGCCCACGGAAAGCCGCCAATCATATGTTTATTGGCAATTTTCGGATTCGACGCACTCCGCCGCTGCTGCCGTCGGAACCGACGCGCCGTCGTCGCCGGCCGACGTTACTCGACTCGGCTCGTTGCGGCGGCCACGGCGGCATTGTCTTTATTATTTATTTTCGTCAAAGTATACATAAAAATATATTATTATACATCTCAATTTGTATGCGTGTCATACTATTAATATTATTGTTCTATTTATAACGTTAAATATCATTGCGTGTTGTCCGCAATCCATTTTTATACGATACATTTAATGCCGCGTTTAGGTTATCTCCGCCTTTATAGTTGGCCACCTTCTCTACCCCATTTCTCAGAGATGTACAGTTTGTCTTATTAACTAATCTGTAAACGTTTTGTAAGTAATAGTGTACATTGTTAATAGAAATTAAATTGTATACTTAATGTATTTTTTTCAATGTGCCAGCGGATTATACCTACCTAATTAAACTTAACAATTTTTTCTTCTACTTTTTCCTCTGCATTTTTGAAAGTGCATAAATTAAAACATCACAGCTTACGGTTAGCACATACCGTATTTATCATTGTTAGACAGGTTAAATCGCTCACACTACAGGTAAAACATTTTTGAACCAACTGACAATTTAAAGATTACAAAATATGTTACGATCTATAAGATTATTTCTTGTATTTTTCCATATTTAAATTTAACAATAATGAACATATTTAAAATTATTTTAAACCAACAGTATGATCGTTGGATATAATTTTTGTACAAATTTACCAATATAAAATACAATTAAAATTAAATTCACATTATTTTCTTAGAATAGATCAGGCATGTTAAACACACGGCCCGCGACTAATAATTTTGTGGGCCGGAGCTACCAATATTAATGGACAAAATAAAAAATAAATAGCAAAAATAAAAGTTCAAAATATTAATTTCGTTTCACAACTATCTTAGGTTCTTATTTAATAATAATATTATAATATATAATATGTATAATATTATGACATACTTAATGGATACTTAGTATACCATTATTATGACTTATCTTTCAATAAAGTGTAATCGAATAAATTTAATTAATGGTTCTATCTATGTGTATATATATAATAATATGAAATATTAATTTTTTCGTTAAATGTTTATGTGCAGCTCGCGTAGTAAACTGTTTTATATTTACCCACTTGATACTTGAGGAGTTTGACATGCCTCGATTAAATGAACTTCTAGATTTTTCAACAAGAAATAAACACATTTTATCCATATTCTACAGTGTTTTTGTATTCAAGTTTGACTATAACTGCATAATATAATATTAGTCACATTGATAAATGATCAATTACCAGCTCTGTAAACTGTACCTAGTTTATAGTTTCAGTCCTACGAATACAATTAATGTTGTATCTTTACATGTTGAATTATTTTGTAATAGTAACTATATACATATATTACATAGTGTATGCTAATACTATATAATTTATATATATATATATATATAATAGCATATAGATCTAGGTTAAGACATGATATGGTCACGTCATATAATCACCGAGAAACCAGAATTTTCCCGACGGACCATTGCTTAGATATATTCATAAGAATTATGGCCCCTAGACCCTCGTATATATATATATAGCTTTTTATTTATTATAAGTATAATGTTTTTAAACAGTACCCATGGGGAATAATCGGACACCTATATTTTTATTATATTTTTGTTAAATTCAACCATAAAATATCCCTATTAATTAGTTCAGAGATTGCTTGTGGTATTCCTGCGATTGAACACCAAAAAATACTTTATTGGTGTTCATGAATTTTCCGAATTTCTATGTGTACTATGAAACTTAAAAATTTTTTTAAATGTTATTTATAAAGGAGATGGTAAGTTCTCATACAAAGCATACCATGTAAACGTTTATATATGTAAATTCCCATACAAAAAAATATATCGGTACGTAAGTTCCTATTCGAACCAGTGACGGTTTTTAGAGTGCAAAGAGGGCGCTCGCCCCCCCCCCCCCTTAGATTTTTTATGTCAACTGTTATGTTTTTTATATCGTATTACTTTCACGAAGTATATTCATACTTTTTTTTCTTTGCATCAGCATGAGACATTGAATTGATAACAATATACGAATATACGTTATCAAAAAATACAGATCTACAACTACAATTAATAAAAATAAGCTAGGTTATGCTAGTCGGGTTTGATCGGGTTTTTCAGATGATAGTCAAATTTATGAATTTTTTACTATATTTAATATTTCAATAAAATTAAACTAATTAAATTTTGAAATAAAAAATGAAAATTATGCCATTTATTATAGAATCATAAAAAAATTGTATTCTTTACTTAATATATGTAATTATGGCGGGGAACAACAAATTGAAAATAGATTCCCCTTAATGTTTTATCAAAACCGCCACTGACTCGAACAAAATTGCATGTTTCATAGCCAAAAGAGCAGATAATAATAAAATAAACGATTTCTGTGATTATTTAATGAAAAATTACATAGAGGAAAATAGTACTTCCCCTCCTACCTTATATTTTAACCAGTGTTTCTAGTTTTTGTAAAAGTTTTACTAAAAATGCTTGTGGATATTTTCACTTCGAATTCAACTTTTTCTTTTATCATCATCCTTATATGTTCAAAATATTAGAAGTCTTAAAAATATTTCAAACAAATACATACCTGTATTAAAATAAGTACATAGATTACCAATAGACCTCAAAAAATAAGCAAAATAAACAATAAAATATTAAAATACAACTTAAAACAAATATCACAGTATGATTATGTTAAAATTTTGAGTTTTCATAATGAGCCACATAAAATGTATATGATTGTTAGTTATTATTATTATCGTATTAAATAATTACATATAATATGTTGATAACCATATATTATTATATAAGAACAAAATTCAATTAAATTTGGATTAAATGTTCACAAAACACATAAGAAAAAAATTTTAATCACATCAACAACCACCTAGTCTGAATAAAGTGGGAAAGAAATTTGTATTCGTTATAATTATATTCGTGTAAGAACTTCATGCTAGTGTATTTTTTTTTTTTTTTTTTGTATAGGAACTCACGTAGACATACTGAAGGGTGAATTTTACTTGCTATATCTCAAGAGGGAACTAACATTTTCCCATTTATAAAGCATTTTTGGAAAATATTTTATTCATCATTTGTATTATTATAATGTAAATAAATTGTATACCAGCATAAAATTATATCTATTGGTACTAGTGATAAGCATATCTGGATTTCATATATTATCCGGATTATTCAATTCAATTTTGCTTTGCTATGTCGCATTTTTATATTCGCATAAATATAATTAAGGTTATGAAGTAAAGATAAGTTAACTGGGTATTCAGTCATATCATTGTAAGTCATAGTGGTATAAAATAAATTCAACAATTTAATAACTTGTTTTGGTAAATAATAATAAATTATAAAAACTGTTGAAATCATGATAAGTATACTGTAATTCATTAAACATAATATAAATTTATAGTTAAATTTTAATTACAACAAAATAAAATAATTTATTATACTATTATTAAAAATAATTATAATTCACAAAAAAGCAAATCTATAAATTCGGATGATCCGGATTAGTATTTAATTCAATTTTTTTTTTTTTTTTTGTCTTTAAGCTTTTATAAATACAAATTATTTTCATAACATATATAATACATTAAATTATTATATTATTATATTAACTATTATATTTTTAGCTCTGCAACTAATTTATAATATCATGATAATATAAATATATGACTGAATAAAAATCAATAAATAATTACCAAAAAAAAATATAAATCTTATTTAAACAATATTCAAATGTTTTAGTATGAATTATTGTTAAGTTTTGATGTAAGTTTGAATGTATCCAATTTGATATTGTTATTTATTTCGTAAATCGTTCTTGAATAAAAAATACATTGATAAATTTAAATTTAAATTCATATAGGATGTACGTAAAAGACTTAAACCCGGATTTAAATCCAGATAAAATAACAATAAGTAAAAAAAAAACTGAGAAAACTTTTGAAATGAAATACTTTCTAACTTGCATTACTTACAACTCTAAGACTTTATACCTACCTATGTTTGTTTGAAAATAAAGGCATGAAAAATATTTAAATCACACCAGAAACTAACTAAATTTAATCAATAATTTCCGTTAAAAATCATTGAATTAACAATTTCACAATAGTTTTAATTTCAAACGTTATGTATTCTAAAATTATTAGTTCATGATGTTTAAAGTTTAAGTTATACAATATAACATGTGCAATTGGTAGGTATGTGTAGTGTTAGCAAGATAAATATGCCAGTTGGAATACCAATTGTAAGTTTTGCTAAAATTTTTTCGAATAAAAATTTTATTTTATTAATTATTATAAAATATTTAGAATTAAAGTTTTCATGTAATATAAAAAAATGTTTAGTATAATTATTTATGTCACTTACAAAACTATTCAGGCTAGTTAAATTCTCCTAACAAACAATTGTATTTGTATACTAATTTCACCGATACACTACATTGACTACTATAAACTAGTACAATAAAAAAAAATTAATAAAAAATACTTCTATAAAACAGATTTTTATTCACATTCAGATACACCTTTTATCATATATAATGTTAAATTATGATTATGTATATATATATATATATTTAAATATCAGTAGGTATACAACTTATTCCATCTATAGAAGGTTTTAATTTAATTAGCGTCACTGTCACCACGTAGCTGTTTACGTATAATCTTACATCATTTTTTTACCAATGACAATGAAAACAATTATATTTAATTTAGATTTATTTGATATATAGGTAATAACCAATAAATAATACTAGTATAATTTCGTTTTAAAAATTGTATACGTTTCTGTTTACCGTTGTCAACTTTTTTAAGAATTACGAGCATAAATCTTGTTAACCTATAGGCTTTTACATTTAAATACATATTAAGTAATATAAATTTATTTAACCAGAAAATCATTGGAAAGTATTTCTATATTTCTATACTATGTAATACAATAATTTGTATTATAATTTTTTTTTTTTTTGTACTTCCCAATTATCATTATTTTATGTACACACATTGATTGTATTTTTAAATTATTATTTAAAATTATAATTTTAAATTTACTGGAAAAATCGTATATATTTATAAATTATTCTCGGTTATTAATTAATTAATCCTATTATACAAGTAGGTACAATTTGCGCCAGTGCGGTGTCCAAACACTCAAAAACCAAATAACATACCCCTCTCGTAGGTCACGCTGATGCAGTACAGGGTAGAATACATAATCAACTATTTAAACAGGAAGAAAATTAATTAAAATGTACGCATTTGTATACATGTAATTACTGAAACGTACTTATAAACATTGAAGTCTATCAATTCTATACTTATCGCATTGTAATATTATAAAGTACAATGTTAACCGAGTACATATAATTAACATTAACGGTCTAAGGAATTCAATAAATAAACAGCTTTTAATAGAAAATTGAAAATATCGAAAAAATAATCAAAATGTTACGTATTTATAGAAATTTGTATGGACATGAGCAAAATCCGCTTTTTAATCAAATAATATATGGCTGGAACAGTGTAGTAATTGAGAACCTGGTCATTATTCTGTATTGACTATAGGTATTTGGTTATGGGAACCCTGTGTAAATGTCGTAACAATTATAACTCTAAAGAACCGATACAACAATTTCAAAATATAAAATAAAATTGAACATATTATAATCAATTTAATATAATAATAATATTTAATCCATTGAATATATGTATATAAAGACTAATGTTTATTCGCAATCTACTAAAATTTTAAAATTAAAATAATTAATAATTTGTGCATTGATATTGATTACTCAAGCTAAAAAAAATTCAATGAATCGTTTCCTATAATGTATTTTGTATTTTTGTAATTCTAATTATAGAAATGTTGGATATTTGCAGCATTTATATAATTATAATGATAAACTATTTTTAATAATAATTTATTTTCAGATACAAACTTAATCATTAGATATAACAAAAAGTTAAGTCATTAATTCACGTTATATTACGTAATTTTTTTCCATTGCGATCAAATAATGCATTTTACTTGTGAAATAAAAGCTGATTGAGCGTAGGTATTTACAATTATAGATATCAATATATTTATTTTTTAATCGTGACACAATAGGTGTAGGGTTATTAAGTACATTGGGAGGGCTGAAGCCCTGCTATAAATGTTCAACGTACTATTTCGTGGAAGATCTGTCCCTCATATCCTCACTCATCACCTATATTTAGTTAATTACATTCATAAATAAAAAAAAAATAAAAATCATAATCTAGATAAAAATAAAACATTTATATTTTTCTAACTATAATTCCAAATGTCTATTATTTTTAAAGTGTATACTCGTATTTAAAATACTATTTGGATCAGTATTACTAGAAATATTTATTTTAATATTTAGTATTACCAAAGATTAAAAACGATCTTGTGTCATAATTTACAGTATATACATACGAGTATACCTATGCATGGACACGTCTCATTGTCAAAAATTACCTCTCACATGATGCAGAAAAAATTGGTAAGGTCAGCACTAAATGTAGAAATTTATATAAATTGGAAAACATTGAAACTGTTATATGTATTTTGAATAAATTGATTTGATACTTGTACTCCGGTTTATTATTATAGTGTTGAATGAAATTGTTAGCCACGAGTTCAATTTATTAAGAACAGTTTATATAAATAAAATAGACATGTAATAATCCTAAGGGCTAATATTCGCACTTGGGGAGAACTAAGCCTCTCCATGCTTCTTAGATATGCGTAGCGTACTTTTCAGTGACACAAAATACGTAGAAAAACATGATTTTATACTTTAAAAATTGTATTTTTCATAAACCCAACCTTAACAATACGTGGATTAGAAATTAATTTTACTATATCAGAAGAATAGAAAATTTTTTCCGAAGAGGAGCAAGATGAATTTATTGACCTGGTAATTAAGAAAATAATGAAACATATATTTAAGGTTAAAAACTAATTGATTTTTAGTTCAGTGTTTACAATGATCAAAACCAATTGGCCAAGAAGCTTTAAGATATTTAATCTCTTTTAGTAAAACGTATGTGAACAAGCCATTTCTACTTATTGCAATATGAAAATCAAATATCGTTACAGACTCATAAAGTCTGAAAATCAACGCAATAATTAATTGAAGTGATTTGTAATAAACATGTAAAAAGGTATGTTAATATTGTTACAATATGGTTTTGTAAAATTAAAATAGACCATAAAAATATTAAAATGTAAAAAATAAAGTTTTCGGAATAATTTAGTTTTAGTTTAATTTAATTTAATTTTAGTTAAGGGTCCGTGGCTTCATATGAATATGAAATAGACCGTAAGTATGAACGCATTTGTGGTAGATAAGATTTTTCTTTTAAAATTATTACAAGAACACTTGTTAACACTTGATTAATTCATGAAATACAGTGTTTTTAATTTATAATTATTTGATTTGAACTTGTTAATATGCGCTTTTAATCATTCAAAAATCTTCGAACATTCCATCAACTGCAAATACCGTCACGTAATTAAAATAGCATGGATAAGTTTGTACTTTTTTCCATTAAATTTCATTATTTCAGAGCCACTAAACCCGGAACCGCTTAAATGTACCTCCTCTTTGGAGTAGGTATTTTCACAGTTGCAGGCGTACATCGACTTTTTTTTTTCCATGAAGACGTTTGAGTTTTTGTTTCTTCAGAAATGTCAATGGTTTTTTTGATTTTAAATGTTTTAAGTCTGACCTGGAAGGTGTCGTAAAGGTATAACGTTATTTTCGAGTTGAATATTTTCGTGGAAGTAAATCCGATTGCTTAAATATGTTCACGCGAATTCCTCAGTAATCTCATATTAGGTAAGTAAATGTAACCTAATAAATTTTATATCGAATATTTGTTTATAGTCTTCTCCGGTATAATAATATAATATATTGGTATATATATTTATTATTATATATTTGTATGGTTAATTTTACAAAAATACAGTTTTATTGTTTAGTGTAAAATAGGTAATAAATTATAATAACAATGTCGATAATTATTGGAAACTTGAGAAATAGGGTGCGTTACGATTGCAACCTTTTTCACTAAAACGATTCCGTACGTTCTGCCTAACCAAACTTGGCGCAACGTTGCCGTTGTTCACAACCATGAAAATTTGTAATATAACTTATTTTAGGAAATTATTACTTATATTTGAGTTTCATAAACGTTACTGTTATTATTATTTTTAGACCAATATTTTTTGATAATCTATTTAAAACTTTAAAGTTTATGTTCTAATACAAAAAATAAAATTTTATAAAATAATTATAGATTATAATTAATTAAATAATTTTTACTTATTCTGATGTTAGAGCAACAAATAGTCCTAAGAGTTTCTTCAGAACTTTTAACGCTCAATCCTATAGTGCACATCCACCAATATCCTTTGTCATTCAGTCATTGAAAAAAATGCAGGTTGAAACCAATATAAAAATATCTACTGTAGAAGAATATATATCGAAAACTATTTCATCTAAGGATATCTATATATAAGGGTAAAATAAGCGATAACAATCTGGTTTACAAATATAATATTGGTATAATGTACACGTCAACAAATATAGTTATTGCATAAATATTTTTATTGAAGTACACGTTGGCAGTGGCGCGCAATAGGAGTTTTATTGAAGCAGCTGCTTCGTGATTAAAATGGGGTGGGTTGATGATGTGTGACAGAAAAGTTCAATACATTATTTGCACATGTGACATAAAATATTATTATACATTATTTGATTTGAACTTATTAATTTTAATATTTATTTATCTACAAGTATAAATGAATTGTGACTTTGGATGGGTTCTCGACACACATAGGTGCTTCATTGGAAAATAAACTTCGCGCCGCCACTGCACGTTGGCATCTTTACACTCATTTTCGTACTCGATCGTAGTGGTTTAAAGGATTAAGTAGAAAAGTCGTACGCAATTGTGCAAACATACCCAATCATGTATCACCGGAGGAATAAACAAGTTAACATTGTAGGAAATATCCACTCCTCTCAAATACATGTATTTATCAAAGATCATCACTGATCAGTGAACACGTATGATAACATTACAATGATATTCATATACTGTGACACTGAGTGATAGCCATTGTATTAATTACCTTAATGTTCTAAGAAAAAATCTATTAGTTAATTCAAAGATAATAAATAACTTAATTAATTGATTTTTAATACATTTTTATACATTTTATATATTTTAATTACCAGAAACATAGTACAACACATTTGTTTTAAAAAATCATAGTTAAAGAGTTACAATATAATATTAAAATATCTACAATATATTATGATTGTCCTACTGTTCAATTGTGACATAAGTAATTAATTATAAAAATAAAATAAATTTTATCGCATAGTAAATATAAACTTAAGTTTTTTCTCATTTAAATATATACTAGAATATCTTAGTAAATATGGAAAATTGAATGTTGTAAAATTCCACTGTTTCATGTTCATTTTATTTAGATGGTGGATGTGTTCCTTTAATAGTAGTTCTATGTAGTATTCTGAGACCCACTTGATTTCTAGGCGCTTGTGTACTTGGGTGAGCGAAATGACCAACAGCTAAGTTATCAGATATAATAAAATCACCGGATTCCCACTAGAAAGTATGAAATAATAATGTAAGAATATGTAAATTAGTGATAGTTTTCAAATATATTTTTTTTTTATTGAAGAACTTTCAGTAAGAACTATTATAGCTCAAAAATTACAGAATTATATACAATGGTTTATTTAAAACACATTTAACAATAAAAGGTCATTCAAATATAAGGTTATAAAAAATATTAAGACTTCTATTGCAATAAAAACTATTTTTGCCACGAAAATACAATAATTATAAGCAAAAAAAAGTAAACACATGACAACATTGAAATATAATATATGTTAAAAATATACTTTTATATTCATTTTAATAAATAAAATTGTAACTTGAAAGTTATTTAAATCATACAGAAACTACATTTTCTATACCAACATTTTTTGGTTGATACAGTTAATATATTATTTAAAATTATTATTATAAATATATACGATTAAGTAAATAAAGTATAATAAGTAAATATATACGATTAAGTGATAAAACTAAAAAGAAAACATATTTAGCTATCAATCAACTAGTTTCAGTCTAATAAGGATATTTCAAATAATGTAATATTATAAATTAATTACAAAAGTTATCCTACTTTGTAGTAGTTTTAAAAAAGTCTATTCACCTTTCTATGGTGGGTAAATAAACATAAAATACAAATTTTATAGAAACATTTAGTTTAAATTAAATAGATTTTTATCTTATTAAAACATAAAATTAATTTTTTTCTATTTTAAATAAAGTTCTGTTGAAAAAACAGTTATAGCTGTGACTATTTGGTAACACTTATTCCGTTTTTATTATAAAAATATACTTGTAAAAATTAATATAGTATTTTTATTAGTATACTCAATATTTAACAAAAAAAAATCAACAATTAAAAAAAAAAACCCTATTTAATTGAAAACTATTATAATTTGTTGATAAATTTCCATGGAATATATTTTTTATTTTTTAGTTAAAAATCCTATGTTTATAATTTCAGATGTATGCTATCAATTTTTATTTATATTCCAAGATAAAATTTCTTTTAATAAAATAAAAACAAAATTACCTTATGTGTATATATGTATTTTCCATTATCTTGATTGATTTTATTATTTATTGAACTTAATAATTTTTCATATTCTTCAGTAGTGGCAATTTTTTCTGTTGGAAGTTTATAGTCCCAAATAAAACTAGTAGTCATTCCCAAATGAAAACACAAAACCTACAAATAATTTTTATAATATAATAGTGAGATAAAAATACTTAGTGTTAATCAATTAAGCATACTGGTTTGCCTGTTAGAGGATGACTATATATCAAAGGGTGTATGGGTCCATATCTTCTGTCACTAACCATCCAAGCTCGATTCCAACAATCATAAGTTTCTTTGTCTAATCTTTCAATCAGTTCAGTTAATGGAATAAATAATGTATGCCCTTCTTTAGGCACTGATTCCATATGATACAAAGAATAACTAAATGGTGCTGGTTGAAATGTTCCATCAATGTGCCAACCTGATCGCCCAACACCTTAATAATATTTAATTAGGATATTATATTAGTAGTTATATTATACAATATAATTCAAATGTGTAATTAAAAATTAAGAAGCTAAACTCTTAATTCTATAATTTAAATATTTTTTTGCTAATATAGCGTATTTTACTATATAAAACATTGCTAATGAAGGCTTATGAGGTTAATACTTTTCATATGAACTATTATATACATAACATTTGTATTAGTTATTTAATAAAAAGTCTTTAAATAAGAATGAATCAATTTATAATAAAAATTTTTTACAAATATTTATAATAATCAAACTTTTTAAAATCATTCCAAGTTTATACCCATGACCTGTTTGTAATGTATACTATAAGATACAATTGTAATACTAACAATTTTTGTCAAATATAAATACATCAAAATGTGATCATTTTTGTTATTATTTAATGTTTAAATGTCTTATAATTATTACTATATATAATTTAATCAATTAATAGCTACATTTAAATGTATGGTTCAATACTGAAATATTTTAAAGAAAACATTTTAATTATATAAAATATTTTATTATTCTATTTAAGTAAGTACTTGCAAAAATAAACTGTCAATACATATAAACACAAATGTTAAATTTAAGTAAATGCAATAGATAGATATAAAATAATCTAGACTTAAGTTTAAAAATCATAAAATTAATTATATAAACAATATATTTAATATTTGTTACCTGTACATCCTTCATTTTCATCATTAGATACTCGAAACACATCAGGATGAGGTGATTTTGGATGTTTGTAAAAGGTAGATTCTAGTTCTCCAAACCAATGGCTGATCTCAACATGTCTATCACCACTTACAATACCTTGATCTTTAAATATTAAAATTCTATGTTCGGTAACATCTTTTTTAATCTCTTCAATAACTGTAACATTATTGTAAAAAATATGACACAAAATACTTTACGATAAAACAGAAATTTTAAAAATAATTTATAAAAATTAAATGATTTGTTTTTAATAACAGTAATAATTAACTATAAAAATAATAAAATTTCTCATACTTTTAGGTCTATTTTCAGTTTTCAAATCAATTCCATATACTTCACATCCTAAAGATTTAATGATTTTTTTCATTTTACTATTTATATTTTTCGAAAGCATGAAATCAGTTTTATGTATAAATACATACGTATAGCATAAAATACATTTTAAATATAATATTTTAAATTATTTTATAATAATTTTGAAAATATAATACCAAGTTAATAATATATGTAATTTTATATAAGTTAAGTTAGAAAAAAAAATTTTAAAATTGATATTGGACGCTTGTTATCTATTCTTATGTAAATATCAAATAATTGTATGATAAGAAACAATCACAGTTGTGTTGTACAATTGGATCTGCGCCGTGATAAATCCAAACGTTCCAAGTGCTTACCACGCATACGCCGGGACTTTTTGACATCTATAGATAATAAAGACTTATTAGGATCTGTTGACAACATAGTTACTTATCAATGATTTCAATACTTATCCGAGTATGAAATATAATAAATAATAATAATTTAGTGGCGTACATAGTGGAAGGGCTAACGGACTGAATCCGCCCCCTCCCATTCCCGTATTATTATCATTTTTTTTCATGGCTGTGAGCAAATAATATGGTGTATTCATATAAATATTAAATATACTACACTACATTTATGTCGTAATAATTTCATTTCCCATATGAACTTTTAATTATCAAGTAAATAAACCTTAATAATTATTCACTTATTAATCTAGGTACAATTGGGATAACAGTTTGCATTAAAATACATTGGTTTTTATCATTTTTATTGTATTAATTATATACATAATTTAGGTATATAGATCAAATGCACAAAAATATACGATTTCAACAAAAAAGCTATCAATAATTTATATTAATTCTAGTCATCAACATTTTTTGTAGTGGAAATTTCTTCTAATCGGGCGCCCATGCAAGGTCCAGCTTTTACATTAAAAATATTAACATGATCATGTTGTGAATTGCACCATGTTACTGATCAGTGGCGCATACAGGGAGGTTAAGGGGTTGTAACCCCCCTCCCCCGAAATTTTCTCCAATATCTAGGTTAAAATTTACAAATTTTACAAGTTTGAAATATGAAGAGCTAGTATTGAATACCTAGTATTCATTAGTATCATTGATTATAGAATATTATACTATTATCAATGCTATTATTTAAGTCAAAATATATTAAGGATTTGCATAATTTTGTCAATTGTAAAATGTGTTATATTTTTACCTTGACCCCCCTCCCCCGAAAAAAAGCCTGTGTGCACCACTGTTAGTGATAATCTTCTATCCTGAATTAGTTTACCTTTGATCTTGGCAGTTTCAGCATCTTTTCTCATTTCATATTTAATAACTAATGCTGGAAATAATGTATCCAATATATACTCAATCATGTCACCTAATTGTAAAAAGTGTGTTATAACATGGTTTTCATCATTTGCTTTACATCCAGACACTAATAATTGTGTTGGTCGATGATCAACTGAAATTTAGTAAGTTTTATTTTCTCGTACTTTATTTTTAGCTTCGAGTAATTTGTTAGCAATAACTACTTTTTATTTCATTTGATAGGCATTTTTGACTGTCCCAGATGCGGGTATGATTCCAAGAGCTTTCAATTTATTTCTCAAATTCATGAATTTTTTTTTCAAACCTAATAGTTCTTTTTTTTATTACGTTGCCCTCGTTGTTTTTTAATTCATAAATCAAAATCAGTTAATAATAAATTCTTTAACGCTTCTTGTTTAGCTTCAATAGTTTATCCTCTTTGGTGTGAGTTTTTGGAGGTAGACCCAGGGGTGAAGTGACCCACCGGGATACCGGGAAAAATCCCGGTGGCCTAGAAGCTAAATGGCTTGCTAACCTGGAGTATAAATAGAATAAAAAGATAGGAAAATAATGAATAAAGGTCCCCAAACACTGCCGCGGTGGTGGTGGTGGTAGTGGCAAAGGCGGTGACGTTAATGTGTACACACGTATTGTAATGGGAGTACGCACACTGCAGCAAAAATTCGGACGCGGTAAAATATTACCGCTGCGATATTTATAAAAACCGCAATATGCTCGATTTCACCGCCACCGCGCAGCGGTATTTTCAATTGACTTATCAAATATACGCTAATAATACCTATACTATCTAATATATATGGTGTATATTACGCTTTAAGCGGCCCATACATGGTTAATAATATTGATCAATATTTGATATTGTCAATAATATTGAACAAATTAAAAATATCTGATTTTTATTGACCCACTGTCAATAAAAATAAATTAATAAAATAAATTTGAAATCTTCAAATGTGTTACCAGTGGCTAAGTAACGCAGAGTCAAGGAAAGTCATTGGCTGGCTGAAATCGATTCTCGCATTATTGTATTTTGTTTTTTTAATAATGGAGTAACTTAAGTTAAAAGCTCATCATAGCATGACTCGTTCATTTTTAAAAAAATTCGATAATCTTCAGGTTGGTTTAATCGTAGCTCAAATAACAGATTTTCACAATTATACTTATTTCGCTTTTGCAACCTCTCATTAAAAACCAAAACCTCTGCTTCCGTTTTTTCTTTCTTTTATTAAGAAAAGAAATAGCTAGAGCAAGAGCTATTATAGTATTATCTAAATTATCAGACATAATTGTTTATAATTCAAATGCATAAATTGTTTAAAGCGAATTTAAATCTGATTTACTATTTGATAACGGACCTGGTAATTTGATAATGATATTATGTTTAATAATTTTTCAATAATATTGATACGTTGATGGTCATCGTCAATGTTCGTCGATATTTTTTCACTAATATTGAACGTGTATGGGCCGCAGTAGTTTAAACTTCGTTTATTTCCTAGGAACTATTCAAGTTATAGTTTAATATATTATTTAACTTAATTAAAAATAATCAATCCAATATTATATACATATATATATATATATATACATATGTAATGAATATAATATTTACAATAGTATAAGTACTATAGTACTAACGTACTATATAGATGAATCGTCAATTTATCAACGAAATAGGAATTAATTAATTAACTATACAATTATTGTATGTAATATATAAATATATTATGTTTATAGTGGATAAAAATCACCACCGCCACCGCCGTAATGTGTTCAGGTCTGCAATTTTAATATCACCACCGCTAACGCCACCGCGGCAATGTGTGGGGACCTTAATACAAGAATTTTCTATCGTTTATTTTATATATTTATATCTAATTCTTATGTGCGCATGAATATATGGTCGATAAGTGATAATCACCATAAAAAGTATCGGGATTTATCAGTGTACCGGGAATCGGGTAAGATAATAAGACAACAATCAAATATAAAAATAACTATTGGGGCGGACGACGTATTAACTAGGTTTTTTTCTCTAAAACCACTCAATAAGCCGTAATATTGAAACACGTAAACACGTTTTTTGTACGTGTTTTTTGGTGGTGTGGCGTCCTCTTAATCTAATAAATAATATTATAGTCACCATGATATTAGCACTAAAACAAGATTACTAAAATATTGTTACAGTGTTACAGTAATCGTATAATACAGTATGATGATGGACTAGTGGAGTACCTACATATTTATATTTCATACGTATTAACAAGGCTTGTTTTAAATATCTTATTCATTTCATATTTCTTTTTGAAATGAATGATAATAATAAAAAATGGTGGTGCTGAAAGAGATAGGGAAAACAATAAAAAGTTATTAATATTAAGTGGAAAAAAAAATGTGTGAAATTGGATTCATATTTTTGTAAAAATGTTTGGTAGGTACTTATGATAAATTTTAAGATATTTTGTATACCAAGTTGATTATTGCTCTATCTAAAATATCCAATAATGAAAGTTTTAAACCTAATATATTAGATCTAAAGCTGACGGTATATTACAGAGGTGGCAAATCTTTTTTGGTTCAAGTGCCAAATTTTACAAATTAAGGATTTGAAAATCGTTTACGTGCCCAAAAAAAATGATATTTTCTAAGAATAAAAATAAAATTACAGATATATTACATTATTTTTATTAAATTTTTGTAATTCCTAGTGAAACACAAACAGTAATCGTTTCATTGGTCGAAAAATGTATTTCCTTCAATTTTATTTAATTTGTTATGGCTTTCACAAACATAAGTTGACGACAAATATGAAAGCACAAGGAATATTGTCATTTTTAAAATACATAAAATATAATTATAATTATTATAATATTATATAATTAATTATATAAATATAGTATAAATAATATAAAAAAAATATATTATTTGTCTCTTTGAATTTCTTATAATCAACATTTTTAAGCAGTATAATATTTTTTTTGTATACAATTTTTAATAATTTCAATTTATGGTCGTGCCATTAAAATTTGGTCAGCGTGCCACCTCTGGTACGCGTACCATAGGTTCGCCACCTTTGGTATATTATCTTCATTATTGAAGTATGAAAATATTCTCATTGCACAAATATTTATGAAAATATTTTCCATAACAGACTTTTTATCCAAATATTTACTAACGAGTAGCTTAGATTTATTAAAATGTCAACAAATGGTCGAAAGGACTTTAGAACAAATAAAGAAACTCTAACGAAATATAGAAAATACAAAAATTACATCTGATAAGTTCATAGAAAAGACAAAACGCCTAATTGATCTAGAAATTGAAAATACTGACGATGAAAAAATTAAGGAAGATTCAAGACCAGTTTGAAAATAAACATGTAAGAAGAAAAAAAGGGTGGCTGATTATAAAATAGAAGAAGAAGAACTAATCATTAAAGCTGCAAAAAAATTTGAAGTTGGAGTATATAATAAAGTATTTGATACTTTTATTCAAAGTATGACTACAAGATTTATTAAAAATAGCGCATTGTTATAATAATATTGTTATCACCTATAAGACAACGACAATATGAAATTTTTCAAAATTTGGAATTTGAAATCCTAAATCTTTATAAAATATAATACTCCGAATATAATTTGAATATTAACTTGAAAATGCCTACTTGTTGGGTTATTCTAAATTGTAAGTATTGAGAAAGTACTGGTAGCGATATTCATTTTTTTACGTATGTACAATTAAACATTTTTATGTTTTGAAACAAGTGTAGGTCCCTAA